TAAGCCGCCCTGAGTCCTACGGGAGAAGGGCGGGGTATAAATATAATAAAATAAAATGAAATGAAATGAATGTTTGTATTTCTATATCTTTATAGATCATTGGGTCATCTCTCGTAATCTTGTATATTATATCTTTAACTTTCTTTCTGGCGAATCTTATGTGGACTTCTTATGGAAGTCTGTTACATCTAGCATAGTTCGTATGGATTCGGTACACCTCATCTATCTCTAACAATATCTCTTGTTTATCCCTTTGTAAAGCTTCCGCTATCAACTCTACCATAATAGCACCCAAATCTTTTTCCTTCTCTTCCACCACGTTTTGAAATCTTAAGTAGAACGCAGCCTGGTCTATTTCCAGATGGATGATCGATTCTTCCATTTTTTTTATTAGTTACCATCAATTTTTTGTCCACTATATCAACTTTTTTCCCTATTCTATCCAACCCTACTTCTACTGTCTGTATTCTTTCTTCATTTTTCTCAATTGTTTGTTGTATCATCTCTATTCTATTATCTAATTTATTCATATCCCCTCTCATTTCTATGTGGTTCTTAGACATTGTTTCCTGCATTTTTAACATTGCTTCCTGAATAGTCAGTAGTGTTGTCTGCATAGTTTGCATATTTAATATTACACTCTGTTTTTCTGTCCCTAGCATTCCTTCTAATGTTCTCTGACCTGGTGGGGATGAAGGTGTCAGTGCTAGACTTGATATTGTTTTCTTTCCTGTCCTCAATGTTGTCATAGTGATAGCCTATTTCTCAAATACTTTCTATTCTTTTTTTTAAGAGTTTTATAAAGTTTACAATATAAATCCCCCCCACCCCTACAACCCCCCTCCCCCCACTTCCCAGAGCTGTTCACAGGGTTACAAATAATAATCATAATCTAAATAACATAAACCAGCTAATTATATAACCAAATCTATAACACACTTTAACTCATTTTTAAAATAAATTTAAATAAGTTAAAATTAAAACTTAATACATTATTAAAAGAAGAAAAAACAAACAAACTAGTAAACAACACTACTAATCAAAATTATAATAAAATCATACAAACTATTATAAAATATACATAAAAGCACTTAATAAAATAATAACAATAAGAATATTTTAAAATTTTACCCAAAAGCCAAGTGGAACTTTTCAGTCCCATATTTTTTTTTTAATATAATCTATAAATACTTTCTATTCTTAATATCTCTTTGTTTAGCCAACAACCTATTTAACTTTACTCTTTTACTCTAGACTTTCAGTTCTTCGCTTTTCTTTCTCTTCTCTTCTTGATCTACATCTACATCCACTATACCCCTAGACCTCTCTTCACCTTCTCCAACCCTCTTCACTTTCTTTCCTCCTTCTTACTTGACACACAGTCTCTCTAAGATTCCGGATTTCTTCTCCAATCTTATATCGTCAACCATCAGTCTGTTCCTGTCACTTTCGTCGCTGTATCACGTCCTCTCGCCGTCTGCTTCACTTTCTGAATCTTCTCCATGTTCCTGTCACTTTCATCGCCGTATCATGTCCTCTCACCATCTCCTTTACTTTCCGGATCTTCTCCTGTCACTTTCGTCGCCGTATCGCGTCCTCTCGCCGTCTCCTTTACTTTCCAGGTCTTCTCCACGTCCAAGTCTATCTCCACCTTTCTCCTCCCACCCACTTTCTCCAATCTTCTGCAACGTGCTGATACGTATCGCTCCTTCTCCTTCCTTCCTAAATCGCCATTTTCTCTTCAGTTCGGCTGTCTGCTTGCCGATCATCTCCCTTCGCTCCTCTCGTCTTACTGACTCCGCCATCACCGCTGTCTCCCATCTCTCGACCTCTCTTTCCTCAATCTCCAATCGTCTTCTTCTTCTTCGTCCTGCGCTAGAACATTTGCCACAAGGTTTTTTTTGTCTCCCTCCTATTAATCTTCTAGTTATTTTAATCTGCTGACTCACAGCTCTTCCCTCCGGGTCGCCGCTTGCATTGAGGATTCCCTCACGAGTTGAGCTTCCTTTCAGCACCCAAACTAATGGACAAGTAAATCTTTTTAGACTTTTCTATACTCTTAGGAATATTTTAGAACATTTTAACTCACTCAGTTAAGTATATCTTTGCTTCCGCATCCTCTGTGGTTTGTCACGGCCTCAGATCTGCCATCTGTCGATAGCAGATGTTTCCACGCTGAATTTAGGGGGTTTCCTTCATCGTAGCAGGTGATCGCTTCTCACCTCGCTATTCCCCCAGGCTTCACCCTTTATCGTGCGTAGCCCTCCAGGCTCTCTGCGCCCCCGAAGGGTCTCCAAACGTGGAAAGATCAGAGTTAGAGGACGGAGACTGTCCTCTTTCCTCTGCACTGCCTTGACATCACCACCAGAAGTCCGCAGATCAATACTTTAAAGTGTCCCCAAGCAAACTCCACCACATAGCTCATCTGGACAATTCAAAACCAGCCAATCCCCAGGTGTTAAGTCCATCATGGAAAAAAGGGGAGATAACATTGATCCAGCTCTGGTTGCAGCACGATGTTCAAGCGGCTCTTCACACCTTCTTTTGAGACATGGAGAGATAAGCCAGGCTCCGGAGGTTGTATTTCTTTCTCTCCCCCCCCCCCTTTTCCTAGCTGACAGGTTAGGGAGAAGAAAGTTCAGAGAGAGATACAGTGCAGGAAGCAATTTGTTACATTGTAGCGGCCAGCTGACACAGAAGCAGTAAATGAAGTAAAAGGTTACATTGTAGCGAATAGAGGAAGCGAAAGCAATAACCCTGCAGGCACATCCTCCCTCCCCTTTGGGAGTATGGCAGAACCCAGGGAAATGTGAGATTTGTTTTTAAATCAGAGGGGATAGATAGAAATAAAATAGAAATGGGTTCTGACAGTCACTGAAACTTTTGTAATTAGAATGGCAAAGGCAAAAAAAAGAAACTACTTTTGCAACCTCAGGCTCCAGCTGAACTATGGTACAAACAGATATAGCAATCAATTGAATAGACTGTTGTGCTGTTCTGTTGACACATTCTCAATATGGTTCTGATGTCACACTTACACAGTATAGCACCAGGATTTTCTTAATATCTGGGATAGGTTTTACTGTTTTATATGGAAGCCAAGTGAGAGGGGATTTGACTTACATGTAATACAATAGAAATCCATAATTTCTTAGTCCACAGGTGCTGTTGGCTGCCTCAAATGAAAGACCAAAATAATAAAATAGCAAGGAATAGTAAGACAAAGAGGAGTGGTAACTTAGCTGGTGCAGAGATTGGCTGATTCTTGGCAATCATATCTTAATAATGGAGGATCTGAAGATAACTATCCATTCAAAGTACACTCCTGGGATCATGCTGCTCTCAAGCTTGTCTAATTGCCAGGGGATTTGTGATTTAACTGACTGTGAAATTAGAGGTTACAGCCATTAACACAAATGCTTGGCATAGGAAAATAGAGAAAGGGATGGCGTATATGGAGTAACACAAGACAATTGGGGTTATCCCTGTACATTTTAGACATGTTGCATATCATCCTTGCCTATTAAATACATTCTAATCATATCCTGATTGGATTACTGGAATGATTACTACATGGGGCTGCCCTTGAGGAGCATTTGGAAGCTTCAGCTGGTCTCGCACCCACAGTATTAAGTGCACCACATATGTCTAGGTAATGCCACTGCTATGTACAGTAAGCTGAACTTGCTCCCAGTAGGCTTCGGGTGCTAAATACTAATTATCATCTTTAAAGTTTTACATAGTGGGGACAGTTTACTTGTGGGGTCCCTATCCTTGATAGCTTTTGTCTGTCCCAATAGATCTGCTAAAGTGGCTATTTTCCAGTTCCCCTTGGTAAAGCAATGTTACCAGATGGGTCTCAGGAAGCAGGCCTTCTCTGTCACGACCACTGCCTTATGGAACAGCCCAACCTTGTTGGCCACCAAGAACATCTTCAAGATCTGGCGTTTCCACAAGGCTAGGCTGTTAATGGAGCCCAGTGTGGATGTGTTGATAAAAGTATATTTATGGATGTCCTTTTAATTGATTTGTATATTGTTTTTGTTCCACACCCATTAAAAGTTGAGGGACTACAGTATATGAGCAAGCCACCTCTTCCTTAGTTTCAGAACTTTTTGGGGGCTCCATGTCTGTCAACACTGAATTCATTTAGTGCACATAGTACTTGTTAAATAACTGAATGCAGAGGCAAGGGTGCATTTACTTGATGTGAAAAGATTTTGATGGCCTATGCTTATTTATTTAAAACAATCTAGAGTGCAAAGTAACTGCTGTTGAAACCTGTAAAGTTGTCTTTTCTTTTCTTGCTTTGCTGAAATGGTCAAGAAACATTACTCAAAATCTGAGCTGGGTAAAGAGCTGTTAATTTATATTGATCCCTGCATCCTGCTGTTTTGTACCTTAAGTATCAGTGTGACCCATACATTTAGGGGAAAACACACTCAACATTTAACAATATTTATGATAGATTCTTTGGTCCTAGTATGACCTTATAGTGACTCCTCTTTGACATTGCCACTTTTTTCTGAGCCATAATAAGAACATTCAATTACTTTTCATAATTTACTACAGTACAAATAAAAGAAACAAGTTTATCAAAAGTAGTGTGCTTTCAAATAATCTTTCTTGTCCTCAAAAGCATTATCTGCTTTCACTCCAAAGAGATGAAAAGAGCCTGCCTTGTTTAATTTCTCTGATACTGTAGCATATAAGTAAGCTTGATCTATCAAATACCCATCTAATACCAAGTTAGTCAGTAGACCATGATATGTTGTGACTTTTTCATTTTGGAAATAAACAGGTAACAACTGCAATGGCTCTTAACATGAATTAATTTGTTTTACAGCTAGACTATAACTAGGCATAGAGAAGTTACAGGTAATAGGAAAAATGCTATACTCTATTTGGCTTTACAATTCTTAACCACATCATTTTTATTTTTTAAAACAAGAACATTAACCATTTTCTATGAAATCATTTTATTTTAGTGCACATGATAAAGTATTTTAAGATAAGATAAGATAACCTTTATTGTAATTTTTATACTGTGGGCATGATGGCACACATCAAAAATTATCCAATAATTGCATAACATAGCAATACAAGAAAAACTAACCCAATTTTGGAAATGGGGACATTTTGAAATTTGGCATGTGTTGATTATGCAAGTAAGGATAAAGGATTAGCACTACAACAATACATGAATGGTAGAGAAACATGAAAAGATGAAGAAAATAAAAAGGGGAAATAATAAAATCACTAGAGAATCTTGAAAATCCAAGTATGAGTTTAAAAGTGTTTTGTTTCCTATCTATTAAATATTTGTTTATACTTCAATTAATAATATATTTAAAATATTGGAAGGTATTTCCCCTTTTATTGCTCAGTAATTAGGTTTAGTCCAGAAACATACTTAATTTATTAATGGCCCAACCATTTTCTTTTACAGAATCACTTACAAGGATAGAAAATATTTGGCAGTTGGGAGAATCAGATTTTCTCCTGATTTGCTCAGCTATATCCTTTTATATTCATGAGCACTGAAAAATAAGTTTTTTAATAGAGGAGTGTGTCTAAGCCAATAACATAGGATTTAGTGAGATTTTCATGTAAGATATACACAATGCCTTACTCCTACTGGCATGGTGTTTTATACTTTAAATGTTATGTAGGTAACATTACCCTTCCCCCTTCATAAGGGATCACATGCAGGTTTCTCAGTGAAAAGGAAGAAGGTAGACAAGGAAAAGAGATCATTTGTATATATAATACACCCACACATGCGCTCTCTCACACACAAATACACATACACCCACACACAAAGGTATTTTAATAATAATACAGACTAGAAAACTGTATAAACTCAGAGGCTTCTTGTGATTATATGACAGTGCTTCTTATGACATCAAATACCAAAAATAATGTTATCAGACATGTTCCAGATGAATCATAATTTCTTTCAGAAACAGAGTTTACTGTGTGACTTTGATCATCTGTATGGGAACTTCTAAGCTGCTCCATTAACATTTCTAAGGTTCTCTTTCTCATGTCCTTTACTCAAAGTCTGGGGATCTGCATTCTGCACCTCAGCTGGAGCAAGCTTTTGTGTCTCGATCTCTTGCCTTCTAGCTTCTGCTTCCTGCTGTTGCAACATTTGCTCTACTTCTGTCTCCAGTTCCAGGTTCTCTTCGTCAGCTTCTACTTCCAGTTCTTTCATTAACTCCTCCAATTTCTTTGCCTTTCGGAGTTCATTTTGCTGTATGATTGTGCTCAAGTGCTCTGCAAGTTGTTCTTTGACTTCCGTTTTCTTTTGGAGATCCAGTTTTGCATCCACATATTCTGATTCTGCTTTATCATAACGTTTCCTGAAAAAAATAATTTAATTATGTTGAATTGTACAGTGTTTTAGCAGGGGGTATTCTAACAAAGTTGTAAAAAGGCTTACATAAAGTTAATAGCAAACCTAACAGAGGAAAGGCCAATAGTTGCAGGGAATGGGATAGTGGGTTTACCCTTTGAGCTTCAGTAGAAGATCTGCACTTTTTCAAGTCTGATATCTTTTCAGCCACTCTCAGTTAAAAAAAACCTGAATGACTACTGAGATGTAGAAAGTGCTAGCAGGGGCAGAATTTTGCATTGGCACTGCTGCAATTAGCATGCTCCATTTCTTATTTCCTTGCTGTATCTCTTATTGGAAGCCATTTTTTTTAAATTGGCAGTTAACGTATTACTAAGACATAAAAAACTAAAGATATTTGAAATTAGTCATATTTCAGTGTTACAATTATCACAGAGAGTTACTGAAATATTTCATCATTTATTAAGTAACTTAAGAAGTTCCAATTTCAGCCATAATGCAAACAAATTAGACCTGTGACCAACACAGCTGCTTTCTTCAATTTTGTTTAGCTTTTCGCTGGACAGTGATGCATTATGTCATTTTTTTCAAACTATTGTGCCCACAGGCTATATTAGCAAAATATAACAACAGTGCAGAGCTAACCAGCATTGCAGTAAAAGATAAATTTGAAGATAAAGCAAATGCCGATGAAATATATTTTTTGTAAAAATAAAAACCCACTGTAATTTGAGGTAGCAAATCAAACCAAACCACTTTTAGGAAGAAAAAGAGTAATAATTTGACGTTATTCCTCAGCTTTTAGTCCTTACCGAGCACATGCATATTCCAAGCTTGCCTGATCAATCCTATTTCTCAGGATCCCAATATCAGCAGATACCATATCATCTAAAGCTTGGAGCTGCTTTTGGATTCGCTTTAATTTAACTGTTTCAGCCTGAGTTCTTTTAGATCTGGGGAAGAAACAGGTAAATACATTTGATCTATACTTATAAACAACTGTGCTTTTCAATAGACGATACAGTTGCCTGAAAAAGCCACTCAAAATTTTTGTTTGTTCTTTTAAAGTAAATTACAGAAGCAGATTCTATTTTCTAGAGAGGGAAGACAGATTCCCAAGAAATTCTATTTTTTTCCCTAATGAAAACTTGAGTTATAGGAAAACATTTTAAAAAATAGAAATTGTGCTTAAAATAGACATCAGTTTATTAGGTTTTATATCCCCTGCCAAATCATGTAATTGCTACTAACAAATCAATTTAATATGAGAAAAGCTTTACTACAAGCATCTGAAACTCAAAATTGGAAAACTAAATGGTTTTATCATGCTTGACACCACAAGTCCAGCATTCACTGAACAGCATTATAAATTCCCAACAGCTTCCATTTTACACTGCATCATTCTCCTGAAAGGATGTCTATTATTCTCAAGAGAATTTTTTTTTAAATGTACTCAAGGCCACATATCCATTTGCAAGAAGAAAAGTAGCCAGCAATTTTCAACCTGGATTTTCTAAGGATAACTTTGGGAAAGAAAACCTGCTGCATTTTAGATGTTTTGAATTAGAACTCATGCCATCATTTGCCATTGCCTATGCTATTTAGGACTCATGGTAAAAGTCTCAAGATACATGAACAGAAACTTATGAAACTAACGGGATTATATCTTCAAGTGTCTTTATCTTATTTACATCCTACTTGAATGCAGCTAACTACTCATACAGCTAACCTTTTTTTAAAAAAGGATAAAAATAGTTACACTGTAACTTAAAATTAAGCCTAATTAAATAAAACCTTGACAAAAGATTTTTAATTTCTATTGTATTTAAAGAAGGAGGGTTGCAAAATAGAATGAAGCAGACTTGATTAACCAATATATAATAATATAAAATGTGCACTGTGTTTTTCCAGCTATAAAACTCCATACCTTTCAGCAACTGCTTTAGCAAGGAAAGCCTTCTTGCGTTTATTTTTTTCTTCCATCAGTTTCTGCTCTTGTTGAAGGATTTCCCACCGAGACTTCTCCTGCCTGAACAATAACAAAATAAAAGAATCAATATGTCAGGGCCCACTTCAATACCTCATCCTAAGAAAGTAGAACTCTTGAAAACAGTTTCTTCCAAAAGGAAGTTTTATTAGGAGAAACTGATAGCAGGCATAATAGACAGGATCTGAGGGTTTCCCGCCAGATCGATAGGTAAAAAGTATCCCAAGCATAACCCCACCCCATAGTTCATCTGGTCAGTTCAAACAGGCCAATCTCAAGGTGTTAAGTTTGTTGTGGGAAAAAGGAGATAACATCAGGCTGTCTCCTGGCTGCAGTGATGTTTAGGCGGCACTTCGCACCTTCCCTTGCGAATGTGGAGATAAAACAGTTGCTGGAGGTACATTCCATTCTCCTCCCCCCTTTACTAGCTAACAACAGGGGAAAGAAGGTTCACAGAGGAAGAAATGCAGAAACAGCAAAGTGTTACATTGTAGCGATAGAGGAAAACAAGGCAATAACCCTCAAGCGCTTCCCCCCTCCCCTCCAGGAGTATGGCAGAACCCAGGAAGAGAAGAGAATGCGGTTCGGGTTTAGAAAGGAAAGGGAAAGAAAAGGAAAAGGCCCTTTAGAATATGGGTTTTGACATCCTGCCTCCCTTTAAAAAAAGAGATTCAGCTGTGGAGAGATAAAGACAAATAATATATAGGTTAGTCAGGTTTGTTTGGATATTCAGTGTGAAAGTTTTTAAGTAGCCTAGGAGCATTAATGTGGCGTTTGTGGACCCACTCATTTTGGGAGGACAGTAGGTGTTTCCAAACTACTAGGTATTGGGTCGAGCCATGGTGTTTTCTGGAGTCTAGGATTTCTTTGATTTCAAAATATTGTTCTCCTTCAACCATAATGGGAGGTGGAGGAGGGGCAACAGCTGGTCTCAAGGGTGACTGTTGCTCGCGTTTTGAGATTTTGGCAGTTCTAACTCTACCATTACCGGGTTTATGATCCTAATGATGGGGAAAGGTCCTATGTATCTGGGTCCTAATTTCTTTGATGGTTGTAGGGATTTTAGGTATTTAGTGAATAGGTAAACCATCTCCCCCATTATGAAAGGTTTTGGTTCGACTCTCTTTTTGTCTGCTTGCGTTTTGTATGCTTGTCTAGCCTCATCTAGTGCTTTTCTAACAACTGGCCATGTATTTTGCAATTGTACGATCCACTTCTTTAATGAGGGGGTGGCAGGTTCGGTGGGCGATAGCTCTGGCATTGGATTGAAGCTTTGTCCTGTAGCTACTTGGAATGGCATGTAGCCTGTGCTGGAGTGGACGGCATTGTTGTAAGCAACTTCAGCAAACGGAAGTAGGTCAGTCCAGTCGGTCTGTTCGTAATTAATAAAGCACCTAAGATATTGTTCAAGTACTGAGTTCGAACATTCAGTCCCACCATTCATTTGAGGATGACGACTAGATAACAGCCCCTGGGTAGTCCCTAAAAGGGACAGAAACTCTTTCCAGAATTCCGAAGTGAACTGCACCCCCCTATCAGATATGATACGCTGGGGTGCCCCATGTAAACAATAGATGTGTTGAACAAATAGCTTTGCTAGTGTTTTTGCAGTGGGGATCTTTTGAGCAGGGTATGAAATGTACTTGTTTGGAGAAAAGTTCTGTCACCACCCAAATAACTGTGTTCCCACTGCTTTCTGGTAGCTCTACTATAAAATCCATGGAAATTTCCTTCCAGGGCGCTGAGGGGGTTGTACTGGTTGTAGCAGTCCAGGAGATTTTCCTTGTAATCTCTTGACTGATGCGCATGTTGGGCAGCTGGCTACGTAGCTTTCAATGTCCTTTTTGATCGATGGCCACCAAAACTGTATTTTAACTAAATGTAATGTTTTCACAAATCCAAAAAGGCCTGCCGATTTTGAATCATGGCATAGTTGCATGAACGTCAGCCTCTGACTCTTTGGTATGTATAATTTATCTCCCACCTAGGGTAGTCCGTCTGTAATAGTGCATAGGTTTTTGTGATTCAGGAACCATTCATAGTCTCTAAGGCTTTCTTGAATTCGATCCCTGCTTGGCTGGCTAACAGTTTTTGTAGCTTGGCTTGCGCTCGGGTAGTTACTCGTGCCGCCAGATGGGGTTCAGGCATGAGTGGTTTTGTTACACTGGGTCGGATGCTATTGTATTGAGGCATTCTGGATAATGCATCTGCTAGGAAGTTCTTCCCCCCTGGTAGATTTTTTATAGTAAAATTGAATTGATGGAAATGTTGGGACCATTGCGCTTGTTTAGGGGTAAGTCTTCTCGATGCGTATGCACAAGGTTGGAGGTCCCCTTTCTCATTTTCTTATAGCAATACAGCCCCCACTGCTACATCGCTAGCATCCGCTTGAATTACAAAGGGCTTGTCAGTGTAGGGGTGTCGCAAAACGGGTTCGGCGGAGAAAAGCCGTTTTAGTCTCTTGAATGCGGCTTGGCATTCTACTGTCCATTTTAGTGGTTGGCTGGGTTTAGGTTTTCCTTCCCCTCTGGTCTTTAATAAGTTTGTGATGGGTAAAGCAATTTGAGCAAATGATAAATTTGGCGACAGAAATTGGCAAACCCCAGGAAACTTTGCAATTGCTTTCTTGTGCAAGGTGGTGCCCATTCCAACACTGCCCTGACTTTCTCAGGGTCCATTTCTATGTCCTCTGGGGAGATGCGATATCCCAGGTAGTCTTATCTTCTCCTTGTGAAATTCGCATTTAGACAATTTAGCATAGAGGTGGGTTGCCCTCAGTTTATTCAGGACTGCCCTAACCAATTTTACATGCTCTTTCATGGTCTCTGTGAATATAAGGATATTGTCCAGGTAAACTAGCATGCCCTTGTACAGGTGCTCCCTGAGTACGTCATTTATTAGCTGCATAAAGATGGCTGGAGCCCCTTGCAGTCCGAACGGGAGAACCCGGAATTGGTAACACCCCAGTGGACAATTAAATGCAGTTTTCCATTCATCTCCTTCCTTGATCCTGATTCGGTAATACATCTCCCTGAGGTCTAATTTAGTAAAGATCTTTACTTTTGACAGATGGGATAGCATATCTTTCATGAGGGGTAGTGGGTATAGGTTGCTTTCGCTTATAGCGTTCAGAGCCCTATAGTCCACGCATAGACAAAGTGACTCATCTTTCTTTTCTCTGAACCATACGGGGGCAGCCATTTTTGGTTTGGCTGGTTGGATGAACCCCCGTTCTAGGTTTTTATCTATGAACGTCTGCATTTCCTCCAATTCTTGGGGACTCATGGAATATAATCTGGGTTTTGGGAGCTTCGCCCCTGGTCGGATCTCCATGGCACAGTCCGTAGGTCAATGTGGTGGTAATTCATCGGACCTCTCCTTGCTGAACACCTCTGCTAGGTCCCTGTATTCCTTGGGTATTTCAGGAAGTTCCTTTTCACCCCCAACCGCCGCTTTCTCTGCCGGGGCTTCCCGGGAGGGGTTTGGCATTGGTACTCTGGTTGATTCCCCTTTTGGGAACCTAAGCTCTGCTGTCCGCCAATCCACCCATGGATTCTATGCCTAGGATTATGGGGCACTCAATGCCCGGGGTCATTACGAATGTTATAGTCTCTATGTGATCCCCCAGGGTGAGTTGGAGTGGCAACGTTGCTAAGGTAGCCGGCATCCCTATGCTAAGGTAGTCAACATCTAGTTGACCGAAAGAAATCAATTTCTTCAGGCTCCTCACCGGTATGCCTAGATTCCCCAATAAGGTTGGGTTGATAAGGCAACGGGTACACCCAGAGTCAATTAATGCCCTGACTTCTACAACTTCGGGCATGGTGGGGGCTAGTATGGTTACTTCCTGGAAAGGGGCACGATGGGTCCACTTACCAGGGGTTCGTCTTCGGAGTTGTCATCGGATGAATTGGACGTCCCTGCTGTGTAGGCTGGAGTTCCCTTTCCTCGCTGGGCGGTCACGGGGAACTCAACGGTCTCCATGCCTTTCATGGCTGGCTCCTTCGGCTTTGCGACTGGTTTCCCAGACTTCCCAGCCGGGGTCCGATCTGCCTTCTCAGTTGGGGTGCGTGAAGGGCATTCTGCTGCATGATGCCCCTCTTTTCCGCACTTGAAACAGCCGGTGGTCCTCTTGGCGGTTGGCTGCTGCTTCGTGGTTTTGCGGGATGGGTCCGATGGCAATTTCCCCCATGGTCTCCCTCTGCGCTGTCTCTTGGCAGGTCGACCTCGGCTTCCTCGGCCAGGATGTACCAATCTTGTGGCTGGTGGGGATCTCCTCGGGAAAGGCAGGCATCATAGAGATCGTAATTCAGACCATTTTTAAAATGGCTGAGCAGGATGTCTTCGGGCCAGTTCAGCTTGCTAGCCAGGGTTCGAAACTCCTGGGTATACTTGGCTACCGGTCATCTGCCCTGCTTCACTGTTTTTATTCTTTCGTGGGCTTTTCTGTCTGCCAATGGGTCTTCGAACCTGCGGCTGAGGGAGAACATGAACTGACTGAAGTTCAACAGCTCCGGTGCGTCGGCGTTGTACAGATCCATGACCCAGTCTGCTGCGATGCCATCTAGGGAGGCTTGCACAATTCGGACTATTGGTGGGGTTGTCTCGACCATACTCTTCCATATAGTTTAAAACCTGAGTTAGGAAGAACCCTAGGCGTCATGGCTCACCCTGGAACTTCACATCGAGCAGCAGGAATTTTTGAATGGAGTGCTGCCTCTTCTTGCGTTTGTGGCATCTCCCCTCTCGATGTGCAGCATTTGCTCGCCAGGGGGTAGGGGCAGCAGCAGCGACCGCAGCGGCTTCAGTGGTCTCACTGGATGGCCCTGGGGCTTCGGCCTCGGACTCACCCTTGGTGTCCTTCTTTCCGCAACCCAAACAGATGGTTCTGGTGTAGGGTTCGGATTTCTCCTCCTTCAGGGAGTCTAGGGCTATCTTCATCATGCCGATCGCCTGCTCCAGCAACCAGCTCGAATGCCCCAGGCAGTCTTCCTCATCCTCGCTGAGGTGGAGGAACCTTTCCATCTCCTCCTTCCAACCTGGCTGGTGACTGCCTCATTGAAGTGTCACCTTCCTTACCTTTTTCTCCCAGTCGTCCTTCTTCCCGACACCCATCGACCAACGAGGGTTGTGGTTGCGCACCTCTACTACCTCTTCTTCCGATGAGTAGGAAGTCTCAGAGCTGGATAGTTTGCAGGGATCCGGCTGGCAAGGGGGTTCCCCTTTTGTGGTGGATTCTTCTTTCCCTGCTCCATTGTCTGACATGGTCTTGCGAAGTCCCACGGTAAGGGCTTTCCTTTCGGGCTGACTATTACTGCAGATCCTGTCTAATGTCAGGAGGAGGAAAGAGGAAAACAAGGCAATAACCCTCAAGCGCTTTCCCCCTCCCCTCCAGGATATGGAAGAACCCAGGGAGATAATGCGGTTCGGGTTTAGAAAGAAAAGGAAAAGGAAAAGGCCCTTTAGAATATGGGTTCTGACACAATAAATAATTCTGTTCCCTTTTTGTCTCTTATTTATCAAATTTATATGGCCACCCATCTCACAAGAAACTCTGGGCAGAATAGCCTTTGTAATAAATAACTGACTTACTATGTATCTAACATTTTTTCCAAATTTGAAAAATCCCAAGAGACTTTTCCAATGCTAAGCCTGGATTGAAAAGTCAGATCTTTTAGACATATTTCAGATTTCAGTTATCCTGTCCAAGGATTCCTGAATTCCTCAAATAGGATACATGATCAAGTACTATCTTAATGTATGTATATAATGTATGGATGTGAGAAAGGAGAAGTGTGGCTTATAAGATTCAAAAGGAAGAATCCATAAAAGTATACATATTAGGGCCCACAGAGTGATCTTAAATAGAAGTAGCACACAACTTCATACTTCTGAATATGATTTTGACTTCTATAGGTATGCCCACTCTGCAAATGAGGGGCATTTGAGGGCTAAACTAAAATCTCAGAAGGATCATATACTGCAGGTATGTCAAACTTGCGACGTCATGTGATGTCGCGCAACGTATTGCGACTTTTTCCCTATTGCTGGCAATGGGGTAGGCGTGGTTTCAGTGTGACGCATCCGGCCCATGGGCCGGCAGTTTGACATGCCTGATATACAGCAATCACAGAACAATTATTCCTAATTGATAAAGTATCTACTAGTTAATGGTGATTCTATAGAGGCAGGTGGCCTGACATTACAGAAAACATACTATTGATCAGGTTTTATACTGTAGTCAAAACATACCAAAACAAAAAGAGAAAGTTTAGAAAGTTCTTGTTACTTAATACCCTAAAACCATTGAAAAATGTGTGCATGTCAGTTTACTTACAAATCTCCAATTAACTTATCAGGGATAGTAAAATTCTTGCAACTTTATCACAGACTTACTAACAATTCCATTTTCTTTTTCACAAGCTGATTACTTGTTGCTGCAACTGGACCACTATTACAAGACTGTTCAACTTCCACTTGTTGATTTCTGGCTTCCTGTTGCTCAGCCTTCTCCAGAGGCAACAATGCTGCTCCATCTGACAATTCCAATATTTCTTCTGTCTTCTGAGGTGCCTTTTTCTGCTGCAGACATTGGTGGTTTTTGTTTACTGAAGGCCCTTGTGGATCTAAATAGCACAAATAGGTAGTTGTTGGTTTTACACAGCTGAAAAATATCACTTCTCCCAAGGAAGCGAATAAAAGAAAAACATGTCCTGAGTTCAGCCGTCATAAAAACTATTTAAAATACTTTAAGTTGGCATGACATTAACTGATATAAAAGATAAAAACAAACTATTAACACAAACTACTAAGAAATACATTTCTGCAGCTCCTGCTAACATTACAAGTAGTACATGGACCTAATTTGCAATATATGGTCAACTTTCTTTAAACCCATCAGTTCTTTGTTGCCACACTTTCATATATCTATGAGAAGAGAGTATTTCTATACAAATAGCAGAACTTTTGCATTTTTATTTAAAAGAACTGAGACTTACATAGAGACCAGCACTACTTTTGGAATCAAATGTTTTTGGAACAGCATCATGGCAACAGTTTTTCTTTTTAAATTAGTGTCAATAAAGAACATGAATTAGGGATAGGTCCTTTGCATCTTCACTCCCCACCTCTGCCCAAATAACAATGCCAGTATTTTGCCATGATCATTAGCCACACAAGTTCAGGCTGATTTAAGTTTGAGTCAAAAACCATGTAGAGGCTAACAAGTTCCATCCTTACTACTCCATCCTTACTACTTCACTTTGGGAAAGACAATTCATTATATTATTTTATTGTTTTCTCTAGGAAAATTTTGCTTCAACTGAGATTAAGATTGGCAGATGATGGAAAAGTCTGCAAGGTCCCAGAGCCTCTCAAACTCTAATTTCTTAAATTGGCTTTGGTCTGAGAGATTATTTAGGTCTTGGGTAAATAGTTGCCAAGGAACCCAGTTCTACTCTTTTTCCAAGGCACTTTCTTTGAAGCTCTTTCTCACCCATAAATCCCCCCCCCGAGAATTTTGAGGATCCGTAGGAGAAAGTTAATATCTAAAGTACCTGTTGCCTTGTATAAAGCTTTATAAACTACGCAAGAGAATAGTTCTCCCTATTTTGTGGCATTTATTAGATTTATATACCATCTTTATTCTGAGTAACTCAAAGCAACATAAACAGCAAGCGCTCTTCTATTTTCTCCACAATTTATAAGGTTGTGTGCCTAAAGGAGGCCTAGCATTTATGGTCTCTTGGTTACTAGTCCAGCATTTTAACCAAACCGACTCTTCAGTTTGGCCTGAATCTTTCAACGATCTATTTTGACCTTCATTAGCACAATAGCCTTTTCTTAAATCAGAAATTTTGCAAATAATGCTAGCTCCCCTACGGCAAATAAGTCCAGGGATCTCCTAGTTCATCTTTGCTTTCTCTACATACCACCCGACGTATTTCCTTAGAGAAAGCTCTTCTGAAATTAAGAGGATTATTCCCATTCTGGCAGACAACCGGAGCCTATGTGATTCGCGCATCCCACCCCCACCCCCACTCCGGGGAGATGACGTCAGAGGAGAGGAACCGATGAGCTGCTTTGAAATCCTGGAATCCCAGCCGGTTAGTTCTTCGCCAATTCCAGCAGCCCAGGCTGCTCCTCGCTTCCACTAGCGCCGCTGCTAACATCTTTCCTCGCTGGGGTTACCTTTGCGATGCCCCTGAAGCCGCCGAAGCTCCTGCTCCGAGAATCCGGCCCAACCCCCTGCCATAGTGCCTCCTACCTCCGCCTTCCGCTGCCACGTCTCCAAAACCCGCCCCGTGTCTTGGGAAAATCCGGTCTTCCTTGAGGCCTCGCGCGGTTTGCTGAGCGTGTACATGCGCAGCCACGGAAACGAAAGGCATCTCTACTTAGCGGCCTCGCCTCGCTTTGCTTCAGGTGGAGCGCCATATCCAAGCGGCGATTTCGTTCCGACTGCTGAGTCAGCGAACGCGAGCTCGAGTCAGCCACGGGTAGCGACAGCTTGCCGCGCGCCGCAGTATCTGAGCAACAGATTGCGCGGTGGTGGAGCTCAACCCTGTCGCTTCTAAACTCTGATTGGTGGTGCTAGTTTGTAGGTCTCATTAAGGACGTGAGCTTGCAAGTACCGAGATGAAGAGGGCTCAGGACCATGCTTAGGCGGCCCATTTTTTCTCGATTCGCAGAATACACTGAATTCTGCTTTCATTCAGTTCCCTTGCTACGAATGCGACTAGTAGTTGGTGGCTCAGTGTGTCACCTGAACGTAAATCCTTGTTTTCGAAGAAGAACCGTCTTAGGAAGTGACTGCTTCTACTGTATCGAAGAAGGATTTTAAGCACAAAAACCCTTTGGGAAACTGAGGGACTGATGCGTAAAGACAGGTGCACTAGTGGACTGCAGCTGGAAACATTCTTACAATGTTATGCTGCAAAATGCCATTGGGGCTGAACTTCACCAGCTTCCGTCATTATTACGGTATTATGCATTAAAATAGGGCAAGGCAGGGTTTGGTTGACATCAAGGATAGAACATTCAAAGATGCCACATTATGTTACCTCAGGTTTAGTGTAATTTCTGAACTCAATAATTATAAAACAGATGCAAATATCACATTTGTTTTGAATATCAGATGGAATTCTGTCATAAGTGGAGGTCACCAGTCCTTCCCCCCTCCCTCCCTCTTATGTCCACACATAAGTTTGTTGAAGAATATTTCTCAGTCTTCTGCTTTGTTTTGTACATATGGAATAAACTTTCCCACTACTGTATTCCAGATGCTAACTTCTTTCCAACTTTAGCATACCTTCTCATATAATTAGTATGATGTCTTTAGGTTGTATCACAAGGTGCTGCAATTTACCATAGCACTATTCAACTTCTGCTTTCTCTGCATTTCTGGTTGAAATATAGACTTGGAACACCATACTGTATGACTGAGTGACTTGACTTGGATTCAAATTGAAATTGTATTATCATTTTTAGATTTTGATACTCTTTTGCTAAAAAATATGCTATTTCACTTCTATGATTTTCTTCTCTGCAAGAGAAGATTTGATTCTCTTCTGATATTTATGGCAAAAATGTCTTTACAGCTCCTAACTTCTCTTTTCCTCTGGGCATTATAACCAGCTGGATTTTGTGTTTTAATCAAGCCACATCATAAATCTTGGTGCTATTTCTACTTGCCTTCTGCTCTTCCCCAACATCTTGTTAATTATCTTCCAATCTGGGATGATGGTGATTGTGATTTATTTTTCAGTATCATGTCATTGTCCTGATTGCGAATGGATTTGGATTTCGTGATAGACTTCTGAAGTAGATTGGCACTTCTAGTAGACTGTGTTCAGTCTGATCTCTTGTCTGTGACCAGTCATGAATTCTTTTGAAAGGTACACTCCCAGTGGTACAGCTCATAATGTCATTAGGATGTGGAAGTTCCTTCCTCACTACAAGGTCAGGATCTATAAAGGGGACATCAAAGTAGAGGTAATTTATTTCTAAAGCTGCAATTCTTTGAACATTTACTGGAAGTAATCATTCAGAGCTAGGTGGCTTTACTTTGAAGGAGACACACATGATGAGGGTACAAGATAACTAGTTAAATATATTGCAGGTCCATTCAATTATGACTTCTAGATAGTAGTGCAAAACTATAAATAGTTGCATGTTTAGCCTGATTCTAAAATACACATACTCAGAAGTAAGCCTGGGAGACTTCCGGTGGCAGGCGATTTCGTCGGTCGCAGCTGTTTGCTGCCTCCCGCCTGTTTTGCGTAAAAGCCGGTTTGACAGCCAGCATCAGCTGTCAAACGGCTTGATACCTTTCCCCTGGGCATAAGGGGATAGGTGAGCTGCCCGGGGTAGGAGTTGAGTTCCCGAGTCGTCCTATATGGACGATGTAGGCGA